CTTCACATAGGAGATGAATTCTCAAACCAGCACTCAAAGGATTCGAAAGCTTCGAACTATATCTGCTCTTTGAATAATGATGGAGATCAAGGATGCCATAATAATTCTTGGATTCTAGTACATGCTCCAATGGAATCCCAGGAATGGACATATCTATGATAGGTTGGAACAGCGCAATAATTGTCAAACAACGATTCGAAGGTTTCCGATAGTGGGATCCAAATCTCTTTTCTCAATAAAGAAGCATATGGTGATTTCTCTAATATTTGAAGAACTCTATTAGATCAGATCTAGGGATGTCTGGGAATCCTAGGAATTCTGAAATCTCTTAGATGTTCAGACAGCGGAGGAACCACCAAAGGTTGATAGCAAAGTTTGCATGTCTTGGATCTATTTCTGCTCTTTGAATATATTAGCGTCAGTAATGATAGACTCTGACGCTAAACGAAGACCAAGATGTTCCTTCTAGTCTAACTGACTTAGAACATCTGCCCGGATAGCACAAGGTGCGGGTTCGAGTCACACGAAGGTCATCTTTTTGTTCGTTCTATTATATAACATCAGCGATACTGCTTGTTCTTTCGTTCTGTACATATCGAAGCTAACAGAATAGTGAAGGGGATGGTAGACTTTATGAAATCCCGAAGGTTCAAATAGATCAGAGAAGGAAACACTTGGATTTCCAGGAATGCGCAGATCCCTATATGATCACATAGCACAGGAATCCCCAAACAACGTTCTAGGATATACCAAAGATTCTAATATATTAGATAAAGGGTAGCCTGCGCATCCAATGAATCCAGAAATGGCTTATCGGTTCTCATAGAGGAGGAAGTTCCATCGCAGAGTTCGTAGGCTTCGAAGTACTGAGGCGATATGTGGTCTGCTGATTGATGGAGGCTATGACGGATAGTTAGTAACAGATTTTAACTAGTTCTTGAGATCAGACGGAGAAACAACTTTAAATTCTATTACTTCGGAATCTCCTTATGTGTCCTATTGTATCCGAATGGAAAAACACATTCCGAAGATAGCAAGACTTTAGACAATTTTTTATGTGAATACTAATGAAGGCCATGATGCGTTTTGTTGGATTTCAAGGATTCGAAGAGGTCAGACTGTGTGAACCATGGGAATCCTACGGACCGCAAAATCGCTCGAATGGTGGTATAAGACGTGGTTTGTCAAGGAAAAACTTTAATGATTGGAAGAGTTAAACAACTATGTGATGTTGAGAATAAAGTTTATCATGATGGTTTCTTTATGACCGTAGCCACTACAAGGGATGACACCTATGCAATAGTTGAAATATCCTGTAGGCATGAAATCTGGAAGCATGGGGTCCAATGATTAGAGAACTTGAGCCTCTTTATACTCTTGTGGGTTATGCGGACCACGATAGTTATTAGGAGCTTTGAGATGTGCTAAGTGGTCGTAGTCAGTGAATTCTTCTAATGCTTCGACATATCGGTTCCTACAATGTATCGAGAATGTATGTTTTATTTATTTGTGAAGTTAATATATGGGTTTTAGTTAGGATCCAAAGAAATATGAAGTGGAGACTCTCCACTGGAGAGCAAGAGTAGAATGTG